GCTGTGAGGCAGTGGGTTTCCCGACATGTTTTGTATCTCTTCGAGACGAATCTCTAGCGACTTGTGCGGTTCTGTCAAATAACACGGTAAGAATTTTCGCGCGCCACGAAATTATTTCGGAAATTTTTGGCAGGCACTGTTTCTGTTGGGTCAATAGTGACGACTCTGGACGGGGAGCCGGCCTTGTTGCATTGTTATCTGAAGTATTTGTTGGTAACCAGAAATCAGCCTGCGCTGTGTAGGAGGGGAGGTCGCGGGTTCGATCCCTGGTAGGGGCATTTTTTCCAGGTGTACCTTATTTGAACAGAATGGTCGACTTATTTCTGAAATATGAGCCGATTAGTTTGATAGTGTTATTGCGAGAAGTGGTGAATTTAGGATGTGATTTTGATAAGGCAAGTCACCCTGCTGGAGCTTATGTGGACTTTAAAAAAGTGCTGGTGAAATGTGAGTATCTTAGGTTACTCTGTGTAAGATACGGATTAGGTTCAGGTAATGCCCATGCTGAAGCTGATCATGGTCTGAGGGAAAGTCGAGCGTTCTTGCTATGGCATCTTGGGAGGACTCAAGATGCACTCTCGGTTTTGCTTGATGATGCAATAGGAGATCTGTAGGAGGAAGAAGGATACAGTCAGCAGTTGAACCAAATTTTTTACGGAAAATTTAGGAGATTTTTCTGTACAAAATGCTTAGGCCGCTTGTGGTAGACCTCATAGCTCCGCTGAAAATTTGAAAATTTGAAAATTGGGTTTTTTTGGAAAATTTGAAGATTTTTCCTTAGGGCACTCGCGGTAGATTTTATAGCTCCTCTGAAGGACGTATTATTGTGAAGCAAAGTTGTCGAATTCACGCTGCTGCAGTTGACCCGTATTTTCTACGAGAAATTTGAGAAAAATTCTTCGAAAATTGATGGTTTTTCCTCAGGGCGCTTGCGGTTGACTTTATAGCTCCGCTGAAGGACGTATTATTGTGGAGGAAAGTGGTTGACTTTGCGTTGAATCATCCCGGGCTGCTATTGCAGCTGATTCACGCTGTAGAGTATCACATAGAAAAGGATGGCATCGATACGGTACCAGTAGAGGCTCGGTGGGTATCTTATTATCTGTGAAGTGCCATGGGGGGACCTTAGATATTTTCAGGCCGGCTCAGATCTTGAGGAGAGTCCCTCGGGACTTCCTTGGATGGCATGAACTTGCTGGTGATGTGGTGTTGTCGCTGTCGCGATGTGAGCTAGAGGTGAGGGGGAGGGGATCGAGGTGATAAGTAGAGTTTATGCAAGCGCGAACATATATTTTAAAACGCATATTGTATAAGTATCGGATTATGTGTGGTCGTCCCACCTCAGGTGAGCTCAGGAGTTTACATACTAATTCGGGTAGAAGTATAGTGCAAAAACTAACAAGAATTTCCTCGGAATTTTCATATTGTCATGAACACACGTGTATATTTTCCCCCATGGGTAGTGATGGTCATAGGGAGCTAAACCGTGAAGCGGGTAGTAGTAGTAGTAGTAGTAGTAGTAGTAGTAGTAGTAGTAGTAGTAGTAGTAGTAGTAGTAGTAGTAGTAGTAGTAGCTTTGGAGTA